TTCGTTGGTTTGGGCGTTATGGGGCTCGTTCCTACCTAAAAAACACAAACCCGCAAATCTTTACCAGATTTTTGGGATAAGGTGATGAATAGGTTTGGTACTAGCATGTTGGGGGTCGGGAGTAGGCAAACCATTCAGAGCATAATAAATGTCACCGATTTTATATTCAACATGCCATTGGTGTGGTAATTCAGAATTCAATTCAAACAATTTACAAAATTCCACAAATGTTAAACTAATATTCCTATTGTTCAACCTAAAAATTAAATTCGGTCCATTTTTACTATTTACAACTTTCAAAGAAGACAAGAATTCACAAGTTAATTCACGGTATGAAGGATAATGCATATCAACCATAAGATTCTAAAGTAGGGCGGTGTAACCACCGTAAAGGAATTACCTCGCGCCCGGCTAGGTGTTCTAGCCGCTCCTTTTGCTCCTGGCTAGCAATACGGATCGTTGGCCAGTACGGGAGTTGTAAATCCGGGTCATACTCCTCCCTCGAGCTAGAACTCCTACTGAAAATAGATCGAGCCCTCTTGGCAGCCATGGTAAAAATGGGTATGAAAATTAATTTGAATGGAATTCGAAAACTTTGATATAGAAATGTAGAGGATGAAGAGAGGATTAATAATATGTAAAATTTTTTGGATTTGGGTGAGAAATGGAGAAGAAAACTTAGAGAGGAGGTAAAGGATTTAAGGTTTTAGAGAGAGAAAGTTATGGAGGAAAGAGATAGAATTGAGAAAAATACGAAGAAAGAAGAAGAAGAAGGGGTCGGGTGTGTCGCGCCCGGTCGGGCGATCTAATTTTTAATTTCTGCTATGCTTTCGCGCCCGGTCGGGCGAGATTTGCCCGATCGGGCGATCGAAGATGTCCGTAAACGTCAATTTTCGTGCCCGATCGGGCGCCCTTCGCCCGGTCGGGCGAAAAACACTCGATTTTTTAACACAGCTCTCGTGCCCGGTCGGGCCCGAGGCTATTTGATGAATTTGTTGCTTTCTTCTTTCCTTCAATTTTTGGCTAACTCTTTTCCTTCAAAACTGTACAAAAACTCATAAAACTCATTAAATCCCCTCATAAGAAAAAGAAAGAAAAACTAGTCTAAAAAGCATTAACAATACGGGTTGCCTCCCGCAAAGCGCTGGTTTATCTAGGTCCCGCACGACCTTCTTACCAAGTACAAGAACTAGGACCCTTGGCCTAATGCTTGATCGGGCGGTTTCTCACCCGGTCGAGCGGTGTTTTGGCTACGACGCGGCTTCCTGACATGCCCTGTGGGACGCCAATTCACCTTATATGGGGGATCTTCCTTGACTTGGATTGGGGGTTCTTCAATGGTGCGCACTAAAGATCCCTCTTTGATCAAGGGTTGCTTCAAATTGTCGTTGCATTTAACACTTGCAACTCGATCTGGCGGAACACTCACCGTAGGCTCAATTTGCACAACTTGCTTGATTGATTCCACCTTTTCGTCCTCAAAGCCTAGACCGACAGTGTAGAGGGCTTTTTCTATTGCATCAACTTCCTTCTGCCATTTGTCTATCTCATCTGAAAGGGATGCAACACAAGATACCGCCTTCAAGGGATCTTTTTCAAGAGCTTAGGGCTTGTTAGAATAATTTTGAACCACATTAACACTAAAGCATTTCTCCTCTGTCATGGGGCTTTTAGGGGTATTATTAAGATTAAAAACAATTTTATCGTCCCCTACTGATAGTGTTAATTTACCACTTCTCACATCTATAATTGCTCCTGCAGTGTTAAGGAATGGTATACCCAAAATAATCGGGGTTTGCATATCCTCAGACATATCAAGAACAACAAAATCAACCGGTATATAAAATTTACCTACTCTAACGGGAACATCCTCTAGAACACCTAAGGGGTATTTGAAAGAACGGTCGACCATTTGTAGAGTAATATTAGTAGCTTTTAATTTACCCATATTCAACTTGGAACACACAGATAATGGCATAACACTAACGCTAGCACCCAAATCACACAATGCATTATCAATCATTAGATAGCCAATATGACAAGGGATAGAGAAGCTACCCGGATCTTTTAATTTAGGTGGAGATTTATTTTGAAGTACGACACTACACTCTGCAGTGAAAGCTACTGTCTTTACCTCACTAATAGACCTTTTTCTTGTCAATATTTCTTTCATAAATTTTGCATATGCAGGAATTTGTGTGATTGATTCAGTGAAGGGAACTATTACCTTCAAATATTTTACCATCTCCAGGAACTTACCAAACTGCTTATCCAAATTTGTTTTCAGTTGACGACCGGGGAATGGAAGTTTGATAATTGGCTTTGGAACATTATTGTTCTTATCTGGAGTGGCCACCTTCTCTGGAGTCGTACCCTGAAATGTAGAATTAGATATATTAGTACTATGCTTTAGCCCTACAGGGCTATTAGCTACATTGTCTGCTTTAACAGAATCAAGATTAGCATTATTTAATAAAACAAGTTCATCATCTCTGGGCATAGGGGGTCCTTCATAGTTTGAACCACTCCTTAGAGTAATTGCATAGGCTTGATCCGTAGGCCCGGTTGGCTGTGCTGGCAGAGCTCCCTGTTGGCGGGCTTGTAGAGTAGCGGAAAGTTGCGCAATTTGATTATTTACAATTTTATTATGTGCTAGAATTGAATCAATTTGTGTATCTCTACTCTCCATGTGCTTCTGCATATTAACCAACATCGCTCTAATTTCCACCAAAGCAGGGTCGGAAGATGAGGAGGATTGTTGTGGTTGGTTCTTCTGGCCAGCATTGGGGTGGTAATATTTCTGCTGCTATTGTTGTGGCGCCTGTGGTTCTTATGGTGATGGATTTTGAACATTAGTACTCTGGTAGGAAAGGTACGAATGATTCCGGTACCCTAGATTGTAGGTGTTGGAGTATGGGTTATTCTGCCTATAAGCTTGAAAGGCATTAACTTGCTCCACAGAACTCCTACAATCTTGTTTCCAATGACCTATAATTCCACAATTTTCACAGAAAGCCTCACTAGCATTATTTTTAATTGCAGAAACATTAGCTACATTAGCAGTGCTAAGATTATCTAATTTCTGGCAGATAGAAGTTAATTGAGCTTGCAAAAAGGATACAGAGTCAACACTATGCTTCCCCTTGTTAGAAAAGCCTCTAGGATTCCCATATTAGGAATTATGTATCGCCATATCTTCAATAACCTGACCTGCATCATCAACATTAAGATTCATAAACCTCCCACTAGCTGCAGAATCTAAAACTATTCTAGATGAATTTCTAATGCCATTGTAAAAGGCTTGGATTAACTGCCATTATGCCAAATTATGATGGGGACATTCTCTTTGTAGGTCCTTAAACCTCTCCCAAGCCTCATATAAAGTTTTGTCGGCTTCTTGGGCAAAGTTCTGAATCGCACTCCGTAGTACGACTGTTCTCTCTACAGGATAATACTTGTTATAAAAATTCAAAACAAGAGTTTCCCAGTCAGTTATACCAAGTGCAGTTCTATTTAAACCATTAAACCATAATTTGGCTTTTCCAGTTAAAGAGAAAGGAAAGAGAATCTCCCTGATTTGGTCTTGTGTGACCTCGGCTTGCCTGATGGTATTACAATACTGACAATAGTCAGCAATGTGAAGATTTGGTTCTTCACCCTTAGCTCCACTAAATTGCTTCCTCTCTATCATCGTTATAAATTGGGGTTTAATCTCAAATTGTACCCCATCAAGAGCCGGAGTGGGAGTGAGATGTGGAAAATCTGTAAGCTTTGGTTGTGAGTAATCACTAAGCTTCTTTGGAGCTGTCATCTCTGATTCTAGATCTGATGATACCTTTGAATCGCTAGAACCAGTTGGAGGATCGCGGTGATTATTATTATCACCAGAATCCGCCAGAATTTGCTTGTAGAAGTTCTTCTGTCTATGAAAGGATCGTTCGATCTCGGGATCGAATGGGATGTACCCTGATCTGGAACACCTGGGCATAAACAAAAAAAACTAAAAGCAAATATGAGATTTTCCTCAAAGAACTAACGTTCTCTAGGACAAAAAGAAATAAACTAGACTACAAAAATAATCAGAAACAAAAATAAGACCGTTTCCCCGGCAACGACACCAAATTTTGACAGGGTAAAGTCGTATCCCCAAATCAAAAGTAATTCCTAAATCCTCTTACTAATGTAGATAGGGACGTAGGGTCGAATCCACAGAGAAACGAGTCTTTCTATTCCTAATTAACTAATATAATCTAGATTATGAAGTAACCAATATATTATAATCAAAAGGAACTAAACTACGAATATTAAGAATAAGGAGAAGACAATGAATAAAAGGATCTAGGGCATAGGTTCACCAATAAATAATATTCCAGGGTAAAACATAATAATCAATCATCAATGCATACATTAATCAGATCATAAAGGGCTTTCACTACGTATTACAATCACACAATTAATTTACCGGTATTAAATCTCATCTCTCGAATCTCGACTTAACCATTTCTAAATTAACCTGCCTATTGAAACTAGACCTAAACATCAATTCTCATCTGTCGAATCTCGAATCAATATTGTTAAACTCATGCATAAAAGATCTGCGCAAATCTAGTCACAGAGCATTAAAACAATCAATAGGAAATTAATCTAGCATTGACAATCAACAACAATAAATTACCCCTTCATATTATTTATGGATCCCCACAAACCCTAGAAATAAAAATACTCACACATGATAAAAACTAAACTAATCAAAACAATAAAATAAGACATGATCAATGGAATAAAATAAACAACTAAGATTAAGAGAAGAGAAATTGTTACCAAATTAAATCTGGAATTAAGAATCAAATTAAGAACAAAGTATAAGAGAGAGAAAACTAGTCTAAAAGCTAAGTAGAGAGAGAAAACCTAAGAAAGAATTAAGAGAGTAAAAAGAAGGTAAAGGAAGGTACTAAACTCGTTTTACGGAAAAGTATTTATACTCCGCAAGAATCCTAAACTAAAACAAACTTAAACGTCAAAATTAACTCATAATAATAATACGCGCCCGATCGGGCGGGCGCCTTTTCTCTATCAGGTATGAATCTCAAGCCCCACCGGGTGCGTCTTCGGGCGCCAGCCTTTGCTTCCCTCGCCCAGCCGGGCGTGCCTCTAGGCGCCAACCTTTTTGGCCGGGTGGCTCTCTTGGGCCACTATTTGGACTACGATTGGGCTCCAATTCTTCGGGCCAATCTGGGTTTCCTCTTCGGGTCATGAATACTCGGTCCAAATGCCCTGGTATCACATATACCGAGCCCTTAATCACCGGTTCGATGGCTCTAACCGGCCCTGGGCTATAAAAACTGGTCGTGCTTTTCCAATGCTCGTAATTGCTCCATAATATATCGGGAAAATGCTCCAAAAGTGCAAATCCCTGCAAAAGTCAACCAAACCTAAGAAAACACTAGAAAACACCAATTAGTAATAAAAGTGGTTCTAAGAGCCAAAAACACTACTAATGACGACCAAGGGATAGGGGTAAAATACTATATAAAATAGACATATCAGATATTCCTCCATGATTTTTCTCTCATCCATTGTTGAAGACCTTCCACCAAGATTTCTTTCTCCTCCATTGTTGAAGACCTTCCTTCTTGATTTCTCTATCCTCCCTTGTTGAAGACCTTTGTCCATGACAAGCACCTACCCTTAAGGGTTAACAATTCCCTTAATTTCTACATTTTCCTTAGAATTTTTCTTTAAACTTGGCGACAAAGCCGCCGAACCCGTCGGAATTTCCCGATTTTCGAATATCTAATTGACTTTACGAGGGAGTTCACCAAGATTCCAAGAACCTAGGTGTAGGAGTTTTCTTTGTTTTGAGGAAGAAGATAAACTTTAATTATTTTCAGATTTATTGAAATGTATTGGATGTTATATGAACTTTAAGCTATGTTGTATATTATTTCTTTATTTAAATGAAAGCTACAAGAAGCATATAATTGAGCATCTAATTAATCTTTTGAATACAAACAAATAGGCATAATATTTCCAATTTTAATTTTGTGTTGAAACTTTGAATGGGGAAGTTAAATGTTTAGGGAGAACTCATGAGATAAGGCTTACCAACCTATAACGGTGATCATGGTGGCTAGATACAGTTGGTAAATAGTGATTTCGCGACATCCGGTCGGTATACGGTGATCGATGGTGGGTAAATCCGGTTGGTATACGGTCTAATCTATACTTAAGGTATGGTTTCGAACTGTGGTTATCTCTAGTTTACTATATTTGTGCTTTCAGAATTTAGGGTTGAAAAGGCTTTCAATCACGTTTTTAATTGTATTAATTTTTGATTAGTTATTATTTGGAATTCTTTGTTTATGTTAATTTGTGCGAAAAGTAAACCCCAATTACTGTAGAAAATCGATGACGAACCAATGACACGGTAAAATCCAAGAGATTGGAAATTTGAAGGAGATGATTAATTTAAGTAAAAACACTTGAAAGCATTCCTTGAATTTGTGGATATTGGTTGTAGAAGAAACACCAACTATCTATGGTTAAGAATTGAAACTGTTCGTATCTGTTTTATTTGTGTAACCATCAAATTACCTTCACATCCTAACTAACAACTCAAAAAAGCGTTTATAGCTCTAGACAAATATCTCAGGTTTATATAGGAGATGATCCGGAGCTTTCTTAGATCAATTCAAAGTGGCATCAAATTTAGATTATTTATGTGATTATATACAACATAGTTTAATTTTAGGGTGTAATATTGTAAGTGCATGATTGTTACACCTAATTAAAAAAATTTGTTGTTTGAATAAAAGGGATTTGCCTTCGTTTGCACCAAAACAAAAAAAAACAAAAAAAAAGGTTTTGTTGACTTTGACTTGTTAGGGGAAGTTTGACCAAAGCTTGACTTAATTATGGCTAGTCTGATTTACTACTAACGCTAGAAGGATTGGCTCTATGGTTACATGTATTATCATAAACCAACAAGCGCAATATATGGCCCAATTAAAAGCCCATGTCTTGAAAGAAGTGTGGTCAATCATATGACTTATCTAGTTAAAATTATTTCGAAAGGAATACTTTGACGCCAAGAGGAGAAAAGTGTATAGCGGTTAGAAGGGCATCTAAGGATTATAGCGGTTAGAAGGGCATATAGGGATGACCAAGACCGAATTTCCATGGAGTTTTTGTTGATATATATGCGAAGGATTACATAGAAAAAGACATCATCGAGTTAACCAACAAAAGCATTTCAATTTCCTTTCACTTTCTTTAGCGCTTTTCTTAATTTTTCCTTGGTTTAGTAGCTAAGCGATAGTTAAGGATTTACTTAGCTTGTTTTGAAAATCGTTCAACCATTCCAATTGTATGAACATTGAGGTAATTTCTCCTCCTACAATAAAATTATATCCTTGACTTTATCTCTCAATTAATGGAAAGCATTTGCATCCTTCATTTGTTTATATTAATCTATTCATATCTTTGGTTAATTCAATTTTT